GGCTGGGGGCGGAGCCGGCGGGATCGTGCGTGGCTCTGCGGCTCGCGTGGCCGCAATCCACCGCCTCGAGAGGAGCCCTCATGGCCACTTAAAGAGCAGCACGGAGGGGCTGGGTAACTGCTGGGTGCTGAACTGCCACAAGGAGGGGAGGCTGAACTTAACGAATATGGTTTTGGGGACACAAACAAGCATGGAGAGTCTTTTGAAGAAAACTGGGGGGAAACGGAATCAACGCAAGATCCATGATTCTTATTGACCCCACCATACTACAAGAAACCAAAATGTTGCAGATTTCTCTTCTGTGATGAGCAAATCCAAGGCATGCACTTCTAGTATAAGCAGAAGGCAGGGGTTTAAGTATTAATAAAACTGCCCTACCCTTGGAATCACTGTTTTAATTTGAAAGAAGAAAAAAGAGTGATCATCTCAGTTATGCCAGAAGTGGATGAGACATGCCTGCAAAAACTGCTTTTGGTGTATAAAAGGGCTTTGTCTATTAATCACTAAAGAACAGTATTAATAGTTTTGGCATGCCTAGGCAAACATGAAATACCTATTTATACAAAACGCAGGTAGTAGCATTTCCCTAAGAATCCAAATTACATACAGCTTCAAGATTTGAACTGACGGAAAATAAAAAGCCCAAAGCATTTCTCACCTGTAAGCGGTGGCAGATCTCGATCGTTTGTCTCCTCCACTTCCTCCAAACCATTGTTGACAACAGACCTGACCTGCACCGCTTGGCTCGTGTAGGCTGCTCCATTGGTTGATGTAGCAGTACTTGTAGTAATCTCATCTACCTGTTCCATGTCAAGCTGCTTGACTATCTCTTCAGCTTCAACGGCCTGTCCTGGGGAATCTGATCCTGACGTTCCTGAGTTAAGATTTCAGTAAACTCTTGGTCATTATCTTTAAGATGAGTTGCGTATCAGAGAACTATAGTCATTATTAAACAAAAATAAAATATGCTTCTGAACTGAAGGTAGAATTAGGAAGGACAGCAGTAACTCCTGGCCTGTAAATCAGAATAAAAAGTGTACTGCCCCCTCAAAACAACTTTTCAGCTTTAAAAATATATATATATATACACACATATATATAAAAACTATACTTACCATTTTTATTTGCTGGTGAGAAAAAATTGAAGACAGGGGAAAATATGGTGCCCAATAATGTAGTTCGTGGGGGACTGCCAGTAGTAGGATTATCTTCTAATTTCCCATTTTGCTTTACATGTTGATTTGTCATTTCATAACTTCCAGCTTCTATAAAAGAAGAAACATGAAATGTGGTAGCATGTTTCTGTTTATGAGTTACATAAATTGCAATTACACATTGCAATTAAAAGGACAACAATTAAGGTTTACTATAAATGTGCACACACGCTAATGTACATCCTATTTCTAAACCTGGCAACTCATGGGTGAAATACAAGATGTAATTCTGAGGCCGCAATGAGAGAAGCTGTTCACTCCAGTGCAGCAAGTCCTTGAGATGTCTGTCCCCAGGGAAGGGAGCAACAGCCCAGTCCCTTCGCACCGTCGTCTCTCCATCACTCAAGCCACTAACCTGATCTCTGTCCTCAACAGTTCTACGGATCTTGCTGAGACCTTGGCTCACTGACTAACTCGGCGGAAACCAGACTGGGGAACGGGGAGCGAAGGAACAGGGACAGCACAATCATGTAAGGCAAAGAGTTCAACAAAAGGGCTTTGAGTTGGGTTTAGAACCACTGCTTACACGATTAATTTAATCAAACATTTTATCTAATACTTGAGGTATCTGAGCGTATCATGATTAGATACTCAGAAACCATTTTTACATTGACATAGTTGGATGACCATTAGACCTAAGTTTTTCTATGATTCTGGGACAGAAACATATGTCTGAGTAGTGCTTTTAATACTCAAGGGTACCTGTGTACTTCCATAAAGGTCATGTGTTGGGAATAAATGCCCCACCTGTTTGTAAGAAACTAGAAAATGAGCTAAATCGAGTAACAATTATCATTGGCTACTGGAATTAAAAAATTAAACTCGTTCCAAAATAGCCAGCTACTACCCCATATCCAAATTGTTCATAAAAGGATAGAACATTATTTGGCAGACACGTCCACTGTAGCTTGTCCTCATAGTCTTAGAGATCTTATTTTGCTTGTTTTACTGTCACCTCAGCCTTGCTCTCACTGAAGTCAATACAAACTCTTAATAATCCTCTACCATTGAAAAAAAAGTCTTTTGTTAGTAAACAGCTGTAAGTCCTGAATCACCATTCAAGTGCAGTAACATACAATTAGAATATTTACAGACCTCCATTCACTTGACTTTTCCGTCGTACTCGAGAGATCTGTTTGTTAGGCTTTTCTCCTGTTTGAGGTGTGGACGTAATCAAGTTGTTATCTATATGCCGTTCAATTCTACTTCTTTTTGCAGGATTTTCTCTTTCTTCCTTAAAACAGAAAAGGGAGGAGGAAAAAAAGAAACATACTGAAAAAAGCCTCTTTTCTCTACTGAATGCTACCAGGAAAGGTTTGCTGTTAGGGAAAGTCCCATAAGAGATCTATTTCTTGATCCACTTCCAGATGAAGAACATGCAACACATATCTGTCCAGCTGGAATTTTAAATTCATTTAAATTGACACGACACAAGGTAAATAGCGGAGTACTGGGAAATAACACTGTAATTGGAATTTTTGTTGTAGAAAACTGTCTTTAAACACTATTTCATTGGATAACCAATTTATAAATATTTAAGTACTGGGGAATTTGAGAAACACAACTAAAATTTTCTGAAACTTGATTTCTCTGCCTGTTAAAATATACCAATAAACTGCATATACAATATTAAATTCTCCATTAATCTCCTGACTCAAGGTCAGTAGCTTGCTGAACTGCATATAAATATGAGACACCCTAATATTTAATCCATATCAGATGCTACCTGACAAAATTCGACAGTTAAAATCACTAAAAGATTCTTCTTACCTTCAAGTAAATGACTGTTTTCCTCTGTGGCCCTTACATGAATGACTTGGCTTTTGCAGAATCAGATATTTTTGCATTTTTTTTGTGCATGAGTGTATGTGTAGGCACACATGTTTAAGACCAATTTCTTTCCCCTTTTCTCCAAAGCACATACTACATATTAATAAAAGAGCAACCTAAAATCTGAAGCATGAACTTCTGGAGTACATTGAAATGTAAGGGGTGAGACGATGCAAAATAAATGGAAATAAGTATCAACAAGGCCACAGAGCACAACGAAGGCAATTAAAATTTCAATTTTAGAATTATCATAGTACCACTCCAGGTCATGAGTTAGCAAAAGACTTGAGATCAGCCCTGTCACCATCAACATTTCATTGTAACATCTACGTTTCTGTCTTCTATAACCAAATAGCTCTGATGTTTTTTAATTCTCGTTTATTTAAGGAATACTCTCAGTAAGCCATCCTCATAATACCTGTTAACTGAATTACGGCTGTTCTTTCTGTCTTCTATAACCAAATAGCTCTGATGTTTTTTAATTCTCGTTTATTTAAGGAATACTCTCAGTAAGCCATCCTCATAATACCTGTTAACTGAATTACGGCTGTTCTCAACATTGGCATATTTCAAAGTTACAAACGTGTTGGTAACAAGATACCGATCCAGAGGGGCGCATTCCTCCTGTGGATGTTACCGTGCGGCGAGCGGGC